TAAGTTGACATCTTATGCAATGCTTCTTCTAATAATTTGCCCCTCAGAGTGTAACTTGTCTTATTTTAGGGTTGCTACTCTTATCTTTTAATAAATGTCCCTCTATTTTGTCAGCTAGTCATGTTTCCTTGCTTATATAATGGGTTATAAATAACTTTCTCTAGTTGGTAGCTTATGCAATACTTATTCTAATAATTTATCCTCAGGTTGCACCTTGTCTTGTTTTATGCCGCTAACCTCATTTTTCAATAAATGCCCCTAGTTGACAGCAAGTCACGTTTTCTGGCTTTTTATAATGTGTTTATAATAATTTGCCACCCTAATTGGCAGCTTTTGCAATATTTATTTTAATAATTTGTCCTTCCATGTTACAACTTGTCTTATTTTGGTCCGCTTATATTCCCATTGTAACAATATGTGCACACCATGTAAAAACTTTAGATTATTTTTTGGAGTGGCAAGTTTAGTATTATATGGTAGCTACTTCTTCCTAAATCTCATAATATATTTTTATACATAAATTGTTATTAAAAAAATCGTTGAAACATAGCCAACTGAGATCTAGTTTCGTTTGGCTTGTCATGTAGAATATACCGGTAAAAACAGAATTAAAAACCAAAACACCGTTCAAGAGTTATAGCCTTTTTAGAAAAATGTTTGTTTTTTGGAAAGCGTCCAAAGAGAGCTGCATCAGCGCAGTCGTGTTCAAACGCTGGGCACGGCCGGAGAGGCGGTGTTCTGTCAGCCGCAGAGGGGGTCGCGCGTGGTCGCGGGATATCGCGGTCCCTTACACTGTTTTCAACCATAATTATTCAAAATACATGATCTATTTCACATCTGAGTAGCTATAGTCAAATAGTTTAATATTTTTTTTCTTCTCCAGCAATAAAATTTAGAAGAGAACATTTTCTATAAATAGATCTCAAAGAGATATGATACCTATATTTAGATTATACCTCTCCTGACATTCAAAATAAGTTTTCTATAAAGATGCCTTGGAAAGTTATATGTATCACGTTGAAAATCTATTTTGAGTTTGTGTCTTCTGATAGGTCTCCTATTAGGGACGTTTTTTTTAATTCTGTTGAAGACAGCCTTATACATGCGATCACGGTCATGTACGTGCCTGGATTTTCGCAACGAGATGATCACGGGGTCGGCGGGATGCCCCCCGCGGCCTGGTCGAACAGCAGCACGACCCCAATTTTTTCGCTCCACTCTCTTCGCGCGCGCCCTCAGCTCAGCTCCTCCCCCTCTGCCGCCACCTCGCCCGCGCCCGCCCCCTGCGCCCGCCACCCCTCCTCCCTGTGCCCCTTCTCCCCCCGGCCGCCCGCGCGCCACCCGTCCTCGCCCGCGCCCGCCCGCCCCGCCCGCATCCTGGCTCCCGCCCCTGCCCCCGCACGCCACCCTCCTCCCCCCGGCCGCCCGTGCGCCGCCCCTCTTCCCCGCGGCCGCCCGTGCTCGGCGCCTGGACAAGCAGCACAGAAGGAAGCATCCCTTCCGGATGGCCGTAAGCCCCTAGCTGCACGAGCAACACCGAATGTGAGGCTCAGTCCCTCCCGGATCTTTGCAATTTCAATTCTATTCCACTAACGGATTGATTTTCCATGTTTTTATGAATGTATCTGTGCAATCGCTAATAAACGAAGGCAGCAAAGAAATAGAAATTGATCGTGTTTTATACACATGTCTGAATATTACACTTCTCTGCCCAAATAAATGTTCATGTCATACTGTACAGATGTGGTCTATTATGTTTTTCATATATTTTTGAGGATTAAGTCCACTTTTGGCCCCTCAATTATAGGTTTCGTCTAATTTTAACCCTCAACTACAAAACCGTCTAGCGGTGATACCCCAACTGTAAAAACCGTTCACTTTTAGCACCTGGGCGCGGGCAGGGCTGTTTTGTCCTACGTGGAGCGGGTTTAACCACGCCACGCTGGTGTTGACCGCCGCGTAGGATGCCAACCTCAATCTCAGTGACATATGGGGCCCACATGTCGCCCACTCATCACCTCCCTTCCCAACGAAGCCGCGCAGGGCTGCAGGACGTAGGCGCCTCAGCCAGGAAGATCTGGCTGCGGGCTTCGGCCGCCGGGGGCAGCCAGCCGTAGGCTTGAAGGCCGCCGCAGATTTCGAGAGGGAGGAGAGCGCCGACAAGGGCAGCGAAGGCGCGCGGCCAAGCCGCTGCTACACGTGCACGCACAACCATGGCGGGTGGAGGAGGCCTGCCGGCGAGCAGCGCCGGGCCCGCGCTGTCCCGGGGCCAGCCGCGGCTCGGCCGGAGGCGGGGCGTGGTCTGCTGACCACGCATGCTGGCAGCCCCGCAGCCACGATCGCGGCGGGGAGGAGCTGAGGAGACCCCTAGGGCCCCGCGCTCGCCGGTGCGGCGCCCACCGGCACGGTGCGGTTACGCCGGGCAAAAGAGCGTTGCTTCGGCCAAGCTAACGAGTCTACGAGCATATATGGACCAAAGCGAAACCCTGGACGGCGGTTAGAAGTTAAACGACGAACTCTAGCGCTCTGACCATGCCGGCGGCGAACTGCTACGGCGCCGCGCGACTGTTCCGGCAAGGCTAGACAGTGAGGGAGTGGTAGAGATTGAGTGGGAGCATCCACGTCTTACTCTGGTGCTAGCAGTGCCTACGGTTGAGGCGGAGGGTGTAGGTTAAAGGCTGGCCACGTGCGGGCAGCGAGGTCGGCGTCGCTCCACGGCGGACACGGCCGCGTCACCGGCCGAACGGCTGCGGTAGAGGTTCAGGCGAGGTGAGCATGAGCCATATCAAGTCTCGGCGAGTCTATTAGTGGTATTTTATTAGACTCTACCGTTCGGTGGAGCTCAACCCCCAATTTCTACTGTTGCGGTGGCTGAAGTGACCAGAGGGTGAGGGAGAGGTGCAGGGGCAGCAGAGCCGCATAGAGGAGGCTCAGTGCGGGCGACATTATTGCCGCGCCCGTCAAGGGGCCGCTTTCATCCACAGTGGGCGCGCAGCCGCGTGATGAGAGGCGAACGATCGCTTGCTGTCGTGGCGAAGCCTCGGTGGGCGCAGGAGGAGGCGGCCGCCAGAAGCTTGCTCAAGGCAGCTACAGAAAGTTGCTTTCGGCGCCGCCGCCACAAACTTCGCTTCGGCGCCAGCGCCACCGCATGCGAAGCCGCTGCCGCCGCCGCCACGCTCCACCTTGCGCACCTGCCTCGAAGCGTCGTGTTCTTTGTCTTTGCTTTCGTCGCGTCGCCGCCAGCTTTGCTTTCGCTGTCGCCGCCTCGCTTCCCTGCAAGATCAAGCGTCCTCCGTTGCCCCCTTCACGCGCGCAGGAACGGGAGGAAAGAGGGCCTGCGTAGCGGTCAATGCCAGCGGGGCATGGTCAAAACCTCTCCACGTAGGACAAAACAGCCCTGTCCGCGCCTAGGTGCTAAAAGTGAACAGTTTTGACAGTTGGGGTATCACCACTAGACGATTTTGTAGTTGAGGGTTAAAATTAGACGAATCCTATAGTTGTGGGGCCAAAAGTGGACTTAATTCTATTTTTAATGGATTCCACATATGGTTGAAATCAGCAACGAGAAAAATAACATCATTTGTCCCAGTTTGAAATTTCTGAATTATGTGAAATGCAGTTTATACCATGCTACTTTATTCCAATGGCAAGTTAATGACAGCTTTTTCTGCACTCACAGGGCTGTGTCTTGTATTGGCAGATTGGATGAGGAAAGGTTTATCCTGTTGTGATTGGGTGCTCTACAAAGAAAGGGTGGAAGTATGTTTCTTACCCATTCAGTCCCGCGTGAGAATTTAGAGATGCATTATAAGGGCGTACCCAGTGCAGAGAGCTCCCGCTCTGTGCGGGGTCTGGGGAAGGGTGTTAGTGGCAAGCCTTATCCTGGCCTGTGCAATGCGAGGAGACCGCGACTCGAACCCGGGACCTTCCGATCACAGGCGGTAAGACTCTACCGCTTGCACCAGGCCCGCCCTTCAATTTAGAGATGCATTATCTAGCAAATTATTCATTTGCTTAGACAAAACAATAGTTATTGATGTTTCATAGCATTTTGATTAATGGACCCGACTCTGTTAAATATATGATAGAGAAGCTAGGAGTTATTGATGTTTCATAGCATTTTTCATGGATTGCTTGATCAAGGGGAAAGCAACATGAGTGTTGCGCATCCCACTTTTCTATTTCCATTTAAGCAGTCAGATTTTTATCTGGATGCTGCTGCTTAATGTGCCATGCTTCATCTTCACTGTCAATATTCATTTTATTCACCACAGGATGAAAAAGTTCACCTCTTTAACTACACAAAGGACATGGTTATTTTGTTGATTGACCTGTATGTGAGCAAAGCTACAATCTTGTCTTGCTTAGCTATACTTTGTAAGGTTGCCTGGTTTGACAATATATGTCATATTGTAATAGAGGGGATCACATATAGGTTTTGAGTATGATATTTTCTGTTCACAGAATTACCTGTGTGTTGAACTATCCTTTTCTTTGTGTATTCTCTTGTGCAGGCAAAGGTGGACATGCCGTCGTGGTGCTGAACACAGTTCTTGCACAGTTGATGGTGTGTGCATGGAGCGAAGCCCGCGGCGGCGGAAGCTGACGTTGGCGGTGCGGGCGCGCCAGCCCACGGTGCGGAGCTCCTCCCAGCTGCTCGACTCGTGCTCTCCTCCCTATGCCTCACTCGGCAAATGTGAGATGCCATGGCCGCGACTTGGTAAGCGCAATCCATCTCCCACACCCACTCCCTACGCCACCCATAACCCACGCTGATTCGTCGGAGCCGCGTGTTCGGCGCTCTGACGGCCGATTTGGGTGCTGTGTATTTGGTTTCGTCAGATACACATAAGTTGTTGCTGTAGGTTTCGTCTCTGTTCTTTGGCTTGTAAAGTAGCTTTGGTATTTTTCTATTTGGTGATTTAGCTTAATAGTCACATGAATCTTACTGTGGCACAGCACACCTGTATTGATTTGCGTTCTAAAATTGATTTGCGTTTTCATGAAGCACCTTTTGGGTCAGTAGTTGGCAACTTGGCATAGGCTTCTTGGTAATGAAATTTTCTTAGCTTCAAGATACTGTGCCCAAATCTTCTAGTTTCCTGAGTATTGCAATTGGTTACTGAAAGTTGTTCTGCTAGTAATTTTTTAACTTCTATGACAAATCGAGACAAATAGCTGTACTAAATTGAGGGCTATGAGAATAAGAAAGATCTAAAATTAATTGCATTAGAAAATAGGCAACAAATACCGGAAACATTAAAAACAACTGCCCTGGAAATTGGTATCACCAGCTGTCCATTTATGGGCCGGCGGTGATGGTAGGGGGGGGGGGGTGCTCTAGCTAGCTGATTTGTAGAGACCACAAAAAAGAAACCGGTAATGACAAATAACATTAAAATACATAGCTTCCTCAATTTGATAACGACAGATAAAAGGTAAGTGACTTGAGCATAGTAATGATTTAAAGTTTCTTGCTGACACTTATATGCCATATAATCTAAGCATCAATACTAGTGTTTAAGTACTCATCCTTGATTTTGTTTAACTTTACAACCACATCTGCCATGTTTGTTCTTTCATCAGGCAAGTGACTCGAGCATAATAAACCAACCTCCATTATTGAACCGAGGCAGCAGTATTGTCTCTTGGAGGACTCGCAAGAGGTATTGGTATCCGCACCATGAAAACCATCATTTGTTTTCTGAAATTGCAGTAAGTTTTTATCAACAACAGCAAGGGGTTCTGAAGGTAGTGCATCACTAACCCACCCTCGCAGGGTGCGTTCTCCATTGAACATGGGATCCGTGGGCCCCTTCCCTGTGAAGATCTCCAGAAGCATGATCCCATAGCTGAAAACATCACTCTTACGTGATGCATTCCCCGTCAAGCCATATTCTGTTTCAATTTGGATTTTGGAACGGTCGTAAGATGACCAGTTTGTGATTATAATAAGCAATGCCAAAACACAAAAATAAAGATGGTAATAAAGCAGTCATCTCTGTTACCTGGTGCCATATAGCCAATTGTTCCGGGCATGCTTGCTGAAACCATGGAGTTTCCATCGCCAAGGAGTAATCTTGCAATGCCAAAGTCAGCGACATGTGCAACCATGTCTTGATCCAGCAACACATTGCTAGGCTTTAAATCACAGTGCAAGACTACCTCAAAGTGCTCGTGGTGCAGATAAACCATTGCCATTGCTATGTCTAGTATGATATCCAATCTCTGTAGAAGATCCAAGGGTTGGTTACCACTGGATGACAGCCACCTCTCCAAGCTTCCATTTGGCATGTACTGGAGGACTAGTGCTTTAAAATCAAGGTTGGAGCAGGTGCTAAGTATCTTCACTAGATTCCGGTGCCTAGCCATGCGAAGTGCACGGCACTCAATGTCAAAGCTCTTTGATGCTCCTTCATGTTGCATGTCGAGGACTTTTATTGCAGCTACCAACCCATCGTCAAGCTGACCTCTAAAGACTTTGCCAAAGCTTCCAGATCCGATGAGATTGTCATCACTAAAATTACCGGTGGCTCGAACAAGCTCATGGTAAGAGATTAATCTGTAGTTCAATGCCTCTCTTGCTGAGATCAATGGCTCGTCTTGTTTCTTACTGCTTGTTCTGATCTTTAAGTACAAGCAAATTGCTATTGTTCCAAAAGCCAAAGCTAGTGGGAGCAGAAACTTCAGTAGCCACGATTTTGATGAGTGGGACTTTTGGTTGTTATTTGGGCAGGGCAGAAATCCCAGACGTGGAAGCCCACAAAGTGCAGTGTTTCCCATCAAAGATTGAAGTGTTATGTTTGAGAAGATCCCACCATCTGGTATCCGGCCATTAAATTTGTTGAAAGAAAGGTTTAAGCTGGTGAGGTAGGTTAGATTAGCCAGGGATCTGGGGATGGGACCAGACAGGTTGTTGTAGGAGAGGTCAAGGGCATTAAGGCTGATCAACTTGCCAAATGTGTCTGGAACTACATCTTGAAATGCGTTGTTTGAAAGATTGAGGAGAGCTAGTTCTTGGAGCTGTCCAAGGGAAACCGGCAAGCTACCTGACAAATGGTTGTCTGAAAGATTCATTAGGATGATCGCCGTTAAACTTCCAACATCAACTGACAGATGTCCGTCAAAAGAATTGTGGGAAAGGTCGAGCTGTAGAAGATTCTTATTGCTCCATAAACTTTCTGGTATTGTTGATGAGAGCATGTTGAGTGATAGAGTGAAGGTTCGCAGTTGCTGGCTTAGATTGCCTACACTGTCTGGTATTTGGCCAGAGAAGTTGTTGCTATCGAGGCTCAGTTGTTGTAGGCTACTTAGCCTACCAATGTCTGTTGGTATGCTGCCAAACATTCTGTTTACAGATGCATCAAGCTTCTGGAGGTTCTTCATATTTGTCAGAGATATTGGGATAGTGCCAGTTATCTGGTTTTGGTGGATATCTATCACAAAGAGGTTGCTTAAATTTGTCAATGTGGTAGGCATACCTCCGGCTATTTGGTTCTCATAGGCAAAGAAAAACTGCAGTGCGGTGAGATTTCCCAGACATGCTGGGAGGTGTCCAGTGAAGGAATTTGTGCATATTGTAAGGCGCTGGAGGGTCCTGCATTCGCATAGAGCCCTCAGATAGTCAAGATTGCCATCTAGCAAGTTCCCTGCAATGACAAAGTATTGGAGATTCCTCATGTTCCCCATTGTCATCGGGACCGTTCCAGTCAAATTATTTTCTGACATGTCTATCACGGTCATGATTGACATGTTGCCAAGGGATGCAGGGATTTGGCCAGTGAAGCGATTGATTCCTAGATTTAACCACTGGAGGTTCGTCAATCTCCCCAACTCTGACGGTATATCCCCCTCAAGCATACAATCACTGAAGTCCAACATACGCAATCCTGTGATATTACTCAGTTCTACTGGGATATTACCCACAAGAGGATTAATACCTAACGCAATTGTATCAAGCTGCCTTAGTGATCCTATCCATGCAGGTACCGTACCACTGAAGTAATTGTAAGACAAGGAGAGTGTGCTGAGGTACTGGCTTTTTTCAAGCCCTGCAGGAATCGGCCCAGAGAAGCCGTTCCTAGATATGGAGATATATTTCAGCGTGGGGAGACTAAAGCTCTCATTGCCAGGGATGGTTCCGGACAGATTGTTCACGGCAGTGGTCAGATATTGGAGCATGGACATGTTGAACATGGCAGGAGGCATGGGACCAGAGAGCATGTTATCCCCCAAGCCAAGGACCGTGAGCTTGGGCAAGAAGGCGATGCTCTCAGGGATGGCTCCTGACAAGCTGTTGTACACCAGGTTCAGATAGTGCAGTTGAGTGGTGTTATTGAACAGGCTCTCTGGTATGGGACCGCTCAGTTCATTGTACCGCAAACTCATGCGCTGGAGGTTGCGCAGATTTTGCAGCTCACGGGGAATCCCTCCTGTTATGTTGTTTCTAGAAAGATCAAGGGATTCCAGCCTACTGATGTTGCCAAGTGTGGGGGGGATATTACCTGACAGACGGTTGTCCGAGAGATCAAGCTGTCTTAAGCGAGTCAGCTGGCCGAGGCTAGCCGGGACGGGGCCAGTGAGGCCGGCGTCGCTGAGGTTGACAAGGGCAAGGAAGGAGAGGTTCCCAACCGCGAGGGAGATGGTGCCCTGGAGGTGCATGCCGGGTAGGGCGAGGATGACGGCGCGCTCTGGGTGGCGCCGGCCGCACGACACGCCCACCCAGTTGCAGAGGGACGTGTTGGCCGTCCAGTTGCCGCGCAGAACGCCTAGCGGGTCGGTGACCTGAGCTTTGAACGCGAGCAGTGCCTCCATGTCGCTTGACATGCCCGGGGCTCCTGCTACTGAGACGAGGAGCCACAGAGCCATGGCGTGGAGGAAGAGGGAGAGGGCCATGGTGCACGGCGTTCTAGCCTCTGTGGGCTGCGGGAGACCAGAGTTGATCGTTTTATAATTAAGGAAAAAGTCCACGTCACCTCACTCAACTTTTTATGAAAGTTTACTTTTCTTCTCTGAACTCTAAAACCGGGTAAACCATCTCCCTGAACTTTTAAAACCTTTCGTTTTACCTCCATGGCCAGTTATAAGCGGTTTTCAAAACGGTTTTGTTTTTTTCTTTTTTATTTATTTCGGCTGAATCTTTGAAAAAAACATAGTAAATCACAAAAAAACATAAAATTAAAAATATAATTTTGTTGGACTCCACATGAGTATATCTAGACAGTGAACATATAATATGGTATGCTTTAGTAAATTTTTTTTGCTGTAGCTTTAGATTTATGTTTTTCTGTAATTAATTCATAGCTGTAGTTTCTATGGTCTAATTGTGATGAAAATTTTATGGTGGGTTAATTATTGTATGCTTGAACTGTAGTAAAAATTTCATACTCATCGAATCATGTATAACTTAGTTATAGATTTATAAATAGTTTTTAACAAGCATACACCTAAATAAATCTGTAACTAAATTATAAATACTTTTTAACAAGCATGCACCATAATGAGGGGAGGAATCCTCAACGGAGGGAGAGCTGGCAAAAAGGAGCACAAGGAGAGAGGGGACCATGGTCTTGTTATCGGCATTTGATGAGACAAGGCAACCAAGGATCATGGAGAAAGACAGAGGTAGCCACTGGAAGTGAAGCATGACAGTTAGAACTTGTGTAAAACATCATAGAGAAGGGGTTGGAACCGATGTGGGGTTTTTGAGATGTGCCCAACATGTCGTTGTGCACAGACAAACAACACTCTCAAGAGACAATACTCCGACACCTCCAATCTCCAAGCAACTGTTAAGCTTTAAGCTAAGAAGGTAGACGACAATCGTGATTTACACTATCTTGAGGCACTTCCGGGATCCAATTGTCTCCCACCAACGCCCATCGAGGGGAAAGGAGGGAGGGACGACAAAAGAAGAACGAGGAGATCCAAGAGAAAGGATCGTGGTCCCGCTAACCGGGCATTTGGTGAGATAAGACAATCAAGGCTCATGGATGATGGTGGAGCACGGACAATAATAGCGACCAAATTGTCAACGGCGTGTCAGTGCATGCGCATGTCTCAGTCCCAGCGACGATGATGGCACATGTTCGTTGTATTTAGTTCTAGCTAGTAGCGTGTGTATGCGTTTGTTTTATAGGATAAAGTTCAAGTTGGATATTCGTAGATATATGTTTTATAGGATGCCGTGTGTTTACCGAAAAGAAACAGTCGGTTACTCGATCGGTCATATACATACTACTGTACTGTACAGCGGTAGCCGGTAAAAGACACTGTGCACACGTTCCTTTCTCGGACCGGCGGATTCTATACGAGAACGACCTGAGATCGCTAAAATATGTCTCCATCTTACATCACGCTGGGCGAAAGGGAAAGGTTAAAAGAACGCTGGAAATTGAACTGAGAAAAGTTTGGCGCATCACGACCATCTTGTTAAAAAAATGTTTTACTTGATTTGAACCCAGAAGAGGTTGCTGCCAGTGTCCAGCGCCACCAGGAACGTCGCGTTCGGCGTGTTCAGCTCCACCACCGCGTAGTACAGCCTGCAATTGCAAAACGGATCGGTTCAAGCTTTGTTTGGTTTTGCTTTGGGGGAAAAAAATCCACGAGAGGTACGCACAATCCGATGTATTATACGGTGTCGTTGCCGGCGGCGAAGGTGAGCAGCCCGTCGGCACCGCCTGCGAGGGCGCGGCGGGCGAGGTGGGCGCGATCGTGGCGGGACAGCGCGGAGTAGTACTGCGGCGAGCCTCGGGCTGGCCACTCCTGCGCAGCGAAGGGGTGGCCCCGGGCCTCCGCCCACTGCCGGACCACCGGGGAGAAGCGGTGGTGGATGTCACTCGAACCCGACGCTGGACGCGTCCCCGGCGGCGACAAGGAACGCTGTGACGATGGCGACGGCCACGAGGAGGCCCGTGGAGCACGGCTGGCCGGCTGCACGTGGAGGCGTGCAGGGGCGGCAAGAAAGGTGGGCCGGGGTGGTGGTGAGGTTGGTGGGTTTATGGAGCCTACATGTTTAGATGGAGGGAGGGGATGGGAGGAAGAGGACCAGCGGGCACAAGTCAAAGTCTCCGGTGCTCGATGTTGCCGGCGTCAACGGTCCGGAGCGCGGAGTGAGAAACTGAGGACGGAGGCGGCGTGGCGTGGCCGCCGTGTGGAAGAGGGTGGACGTGGACATGTGGTGCGGAAACGGAAGGTCGGCCGTTTCCGCGTAGGATCTCCTCAGGCCATTCAGTATAGGATCCAATTCCGGAGTCCGGAATAGTGGAACAACTCTCAGCTGTAAAAGCTCGACAGCAAGCACCTCCAAAATGTGCCTGAAACATCATCAATCTCTTCCGTCAGAGGTACATCAGTGTGGGACGTTTGCCCCTCAGTTCAGACAACATCCAATACAATCATTTCTCCTCAGACCATTTAGTATAGGAAACAATTCCAAGATATTTAGTTATCAAACCAAGAGCGTCAGTGTGGCGATCAGATTCCTGCCCGATAGCAAGTTTTTACAAGAGCAAGACCCAGAAGTTGATAGTTGTGACAAGAAATTGATGGAATTCTAGGACCATCTATGGCCCCGTTCGCTGGTCTGAACTTTGGCTGAAACTGGCTGAAAAATACTGTTCCGGCTGAATTGTTGTGAGAGAAAAACACTGTTCCGGCTGAAAAAATAAGCCGAACAAGCCAAATTTAAGGCAAGCGAACGGGGCTTATGTGTTGATCTAGTGGGTAAATACTTAGTTTAGATGAGAAACTTGATGATGTACCTCACCATGGTGCGGTCACGGCCACGGCGCCACCGCGACATGGCCATTGGAGTCGTAGTAGGGGAAGTCGTGCATGCGCCCGCTAGGTCGTCGAACGCAGCAGCAGTGCAGGTGCGGTGCTGTGGCGGCGGCGAAGGCGATGGCATTTCCCGTCGCTCACAGCGCCCCTCTCGATCGGTCTAGGGTTAGGAACTTCGTGCTGGGGCTGGCGGCTACCGGTGACCTCATGTCTTGTGCCCCAGCCCCCACCGTCCTTTTATGGTGCTGCGCGCCGGGGGCCCATCAGCCAAGAGAACCGGCTGAGCGCCCCGATCAAGGCGCGGATCAAGGGTCCAATTGGCCGTTAGGGCCAACTGTTGGAGATCATCCTAACATTCTCTCCTTTGATCTCACCTTATGACTTAAACTCAACTTACTTTGTCTTTTTCCCATTCCATCACAAATCAGTGCATAGAGCGTGCCTCATCGTCACAGTCAGTTGCCACTAGATTAAACAACTACAATGCACCTCTCTGTTTTGACTGTTTTGAAATACATTCTCAATTAGGCCCTTAGTATCCAGAAATCATAGGCTTTTCCGCAAACCTATGTCGACTGTGTGTTCTCTGAATGCACTGGGTGGTTAGCCTTTAGTAAGCGGATCCGCAAGTACTTGCTTGGTACTCATATGGTTAATGCTTTTAAAATGATTCTGAATTTTCTCCTTTACAACATATAACTCTATGTCAATGTGTTTGGCAGCACACTTGACCTGCTGTCTTAGGAGTTAACTACTTTAAATGGTTATTGCTGTTGACTACCATTGTTAAATCCGGGTACTAATTCCCTTAACCTTATTTTGCCTGTTCCTTAAGCCTCATGTCAAGCTATACTATGGTATGCATCACTGATGACACCACAACTGTTTATTTGGAGCTTTTCCACAATAATACTCCAACTACGAGTGTTAGCAACTACTGTGAGATTTCACTACACATCTCGCCAAGACTTAACATTTATACCTCAACTATTTGAGAGTATTTGTTCTTTCTTACTCAGCATGAGGTCTATGATACTTTGTAAAATTGTAAGATATTCTTAACTCCATTCCAGTGATCTATATCTGGACTGGACTTCTACTAAAATATCCCGGATACGTAAACTATGTCAGGGTAAGTTCTTACATGTACTTGTACACTCATCAAGCTTTCAATAGCTGAAGCATATGGAAATATGAAACTATGTTCATTTGATCGATCTCATATCGATTTCTGGAACACTTAAAGTTTCCAAATCTATTACCGTTGACTATAGGTGTAGGCGTAGGTTTACTCGCATGCATACTTTATTTCTTTAGAATCTTTTCTAAGTATGCCTTTGCGATAGTCCTAATACTCTATTTTTTTCTATCTCGGTGAATTTCGATTCCTAGAATCAATGACGCTTCACCAAGATCATTCACATTGAAACTTGATGACAAAACTTTTCTCCAATGACAGATTAACATCACTACTAGTGACTAGAATGTCATCTATTCACAGGTTGTAGAAAATGAATTTTTCATTCTCGAACTTCGCATAAACGCTATTGTCCTTCTCATTTTCTTTAAAACCCAAACTTTCTCATTGTTTTATCAACTTCAAATACTACTGTCTTGTGACTTGTTTTAACTCATAAATGATTTTCTACAGGCGGCATCCCATACGTTCTTTTTCTTTCATGATAAAACCTTTGGGTTGTGCCATGTAAACGTTTTCATACAAATCCCCGTTGAGAAATGCCGTTTTTACATTCATCTGATGTAACTCTAAATCATAATGTGTCAATAATACTATTTTGATTCTAAAGAATTCTTGTATGAGACTGGAGAGAAAACTCTCATCGTAATCTATTCATCCTCTTTGCGTAAAGCCTTTTACTACAAGTCATGTTTTATATCTTTCTACATTTTCTTTGGAGTCATATTTTGTCTTGTAGACCCATTTACAGCCTATTGTTTTGGCTCCATTAGGAATTTCTTCTAGGTCCCAAACAACGTTGGTATTCATCGAATTTATTTTAACTTCCATAGCTTCTTGCCATTTAGACGAGTAAACGCTTCTCATGTCTTTTTCAAATGAAGTGGGATCACCCTCTATTTAAATTTTTTTACTA